CCGAATCGGTCCCCCACAAAGCTCTTCTCCTCGCAGGCAGCCACAGACCGTCCCGCAAGAATCGCCCGCTGCTCTCTCCGCCGCGCCGCGCTCGGCCACTTCTCAAGTACAGCATGCGCCCCCTGGTGATCGCGTCGAAGCAACGCCACAACAAAAAAAAAAAACATATCGCCTCCACACAACATCACAAGCTCACCTGCCGTCGCTTTACCGACGATCTCCTCCTCCTCACGAGCCGTTCGTTCCCTTCAAGCCTTCCACTAATGTTCGAAATAATAACCGCAAATGGGCAAACCCGTGGTCTTCGCACCCACCCTGCCAAAACCGATTTGACGACGGCATGGACATCGAGATATTACCCCACCGTGGCACCACCGTCAAATGCTGGAAAAGCAAATCGGTTTCCACGGCGCCATAACACGACTGAAATCAGGATGGGCTGCTCTGGCTACTTCCAAATTCGAACTCACTGAAGTCACCATCCACTGAAATGCCGACTCTGGCTCTTGCACGACCCTGACACGCTGACAGCACATGAACTATGACACAGCGCAGCTGACAAGGGCTGCAAGGGTACGAATGGGAATGCGGAACAGCAATCTCGGGTGCATCACACACAACGCACGACCAGGCAGACAGAAGCCCTAGTGCAGAAGCACTGGAGTCCATGATTGGGCCACTGCACAGCGACAATTTGCACTCCGAGTTGCTCAACAAGCGTGGGGGCGGGGATCGCGCGGGGGTGAAGAATGAGCCTATCCAGCGCTAGACGTAGGGGTGGCGCATCGCGTGGAAGGGTGGGTTCGGCTCGCGTCGGGGGACTGGGACGGGCTTTCGGGCCGGGTGACATGGGGATGATGCTTACGGAACCATCTGGAGTGTGATTCGCGGTCAGTTACGAAACAACCGCCTCAAGAATGGACCATAATTATACTTAGCCAGCTGCCCCCAATCCTTCATGCCAACCAGAACGAGCGAAGTGATTCATGAGCAGTGCAAATAATTGAAGGAAGACGCACGCGAATTCCTCGATCGCACCGGCATGCAAGGGTGACCAGCCCGTAACATTCACGACTCTGACGGCACTGCTTGGCTCCGTGCGTCCTCGATCAACGCAACCTGGGCACAAACGGAGCTACAACTTGCTGCGAAGGGTCACGCCCAGCGCATTCTCGACGCCGGACAGGTGAGCGCCCATCTCCCTGAACCAATCAGCCGTTCTGCTTTCAATTTATGCCTGCCCCCCAAGAGGTCACGGCCTCGCCCACCAGGCCGTTGCCCAACCCAGACATCTGTCCGCCATAGTGGCCCCAACCATGCCCTACCCTCCCTCCCTCCCTCTGTGCTCCTCCTCCTCCTCCTCCTCCTCCTCCTCCTCCTCCTCCTCCTCCTCCTCCTCCTCCTCCTCCTCCTCCTCCTCCTCCTCCTCCTCCTCCTCCTCCTCCTCCGTTCCTTCTCCTTCAAAATAACTTCTCCCTGTCGCACCCCGAGGCCAGTTTTTAGGGCGGGAAGGGCGTTTCGCCTGAAACTTCCTCACCATCCATGACCCTGAAGCTTGAAAATTGACAACAGCTTCACAGATGGAGGGCGGGTGGTTTCAAAATGTGGCTCTCGCCTTAGTGCCGCGCAAATTCGTTTAAGAAATGTACAAGAGCTTCACGGACTGAGGGCGGTTCCTTTTCAAAACGTGGCTCTCGCATTAGTGTCGCGCACATTTGTTTTCAGCATAATTCCCATGATCATGATCAACGTACCAGAAACGGTGTGTTTGAAGGATTCAGGATTATGTGGGTGCAACGGTTATGTTGATTCGCAGTGTTGAAGTCCCATGAAAGGCGTTATGGCACGATTCAGGATCGTCAAGACGCAACAGTCAGGTTGATCCGTGGCGCTGGAATCCCAAGAACAGTGTTTCGGCATGTTTCCGTGTCTTCAAACGATTGTCTTCCAACGAGGCAGTTCCCTCAGTGGAAATGAACCCTTGTAGGGGCCTATGAAGAGGGAGCTTGAAGGAGGGTTTATTCCAACATCGTTGACGACTCTTGGGTTTACACTGGTCCTCCTCCTCCTCCTCGTCCTCGTATCTGCCGTTTTCCTGTCGCCGGCCAATCGCACAACGACAGAAGCTCGACTGGAAATGCACGGCGCGAAATTCCGCCCGCCGCAAAAAAAGCCGGCGGCGGGAGGGCCGCCTGAAGGCGGCGGGATGCCGGCGCACAAAAACCGGGCACAGAGGGGAAGCCCGAGGGAACAAGAGGGCATCCGCGCCGCTTGGCTCGCCAGCCCACACCTGCTCTGGCCGTGGACCGGGGAAGGGGGGGGCGAGGGGGGCGAACAGTCGGCGGCACGCCCACGGGGGGAGGCAGAGGGGGCAGGCCTTCTCGGAAGGCCGAGAAGGCCTCCAGCCTTCTGAGAAGAGTTCTGGGCCTCCTCCGAAGCCACAGAGGGCTTCGCAGAAGGCCGGCTTCGCAGAAGGCCGGGGGGCGGGGGGCGAGGGGAAACGTTAGGGGGGAACTGGCTGAGGGGGCAAACACTGGATTCAAATCGGCGATACATCGCCGACAGATCGGCGAGAGGCCCCCGATGGCGACCCGGCAGCAGGGCCAAGTCCAGCCGCGTGAGGGCAGTTGTCGGAGCCCCCCTGGCGACCGTTTTCGGCATCCTGGGGCCTTCGCCGGGCCCCGAGACCGTCAAAAACGACTCGGGATGTAAAACTGGCCATGGGGACCGCGTGTTGAAAAAATAAAGACCTCGCATGTCCAGGAATGTTTTTTTTGCACCCCATCAATACCCGACCGCTGAAGTCATAGCCATGCACCTGGCACCACCAGGCGACTGCAGGGAACAAACAGGTGAACAGGGAACGATGACGCACCCGAGCCCGACGATGAGGGAATAAGGAAAGGGGATGGACCAAGCAGTCGTGAACAGCACAATGGCCAAGCCGCCGAAGGCGAGCCTAAGCACGGGTCAACATCCCAGGAGCGGAGTCCACAAAGTGGAGAAGGACAGCACTGACCATGCCAAAGAAGGTCGGGCGCTGGCGGGACTGGGTTTAATAGGACCTGGTTTCCTGATATGTACTGGAGGACGTCCCCCCCTGCCCCGTTCCACTAATCGGAACTGCCGTCATACGAAGAAAAAACAACTACGGCAGACCTGATTTAGTGATTCCAGTCCATAGTTTGGCAATCGTGGCCCAATCACTAAGCGGCTCCCCTTAACCAGGGCCCTGGCCATACCCGAGGAGACGTAAGACTCGGGTTCGGGGGACTCGGGTTGGCCTGACGGGGCCATCATGAAAATGACGAGACCCAATCTGAAATCTGACGCGAGCTCCTGCCGCAGACATCCCACGAAGACTGGACTGTCAAACTCCAGGACGAGCCTCGGCAAAACCGAGCTCCAGCGGCGCACTCGAGTCTCACGGTTCTAGAGGCCTCCTACATGGGGTCCGAGTAGATGTAGTCGGAGGATCGCGCCGCATCGGCGACGTCGGCGTGGAGAAGATTGGGCCCCGCATCGAGCCGCATCGCCGATGCATCGGCGATGCGGCGCTATCCTCCAACCCCATCTGCTCGGACCCCACATGGAAGGCCTAGACTTACGCCTTCCCCGAGAGCAGGGATCCAGCGCCCCCCGCGCCGACGACCCGACGTCGTACTGTGCGGGTTGACTGTGCGGCAAGTTCCCGCCTCGACGACGTGGGCCCTAGGTTCTAAAACTCGATGAACAAAACGTACTCCAAATTTCATTGGAAAGGGGTGGGGGTCACAAACCTCCCAGACGAGCTATTTCAGACCCCCATCTCCAGACCAGCCACGAAAAGGCGGCCTTGAGCCCAGACCCCCTGGAACCCTCCAAGACGGCTCAAATCAGAAACCCCCCAAAACAGACCCCCCTCTTGTATTATGAAATTCGGAATAAACATAAACTTTCGGAGCTCCGCGCGAAGCTCTTGAATCGGCGATAGAGCCACTGGTGGCGCCTCCGGCGGCGTCCCTGGCGCGCTCCGCGTGCCAGGGAGGGGGATCCAGCGCCGATCTCAAGAATCCGAGCGGACCTCCAAAAGCTCATGATTGTGTGTGTGTCGTTTTGAGCTCGTCGAAAAGACCCTGTGAACTGCTCAATCTGCTCGAAGATCCCCATAGGCTGTCGACTCCTTCCTTCGTACGGACTTCTGGCCGTGGCCGTGGCCATGGGCTGTTTTCTGTCCCGAGGGACCAGATGGTGCAGGGCGATAGCTCAACAGGGTAATCCGTTTTCGTGTTGTTTTCGTTTTCCCTCGTTCTGTCTTCTTTCCGCCTTTGCTGCAAAACGAAATCAAAACGAAAACAATCCACGAAACCGCCAAAACACAGTTTAGCCCGCGCCCTGAGATGGCGCCTCGCCGACGCGCCGGGGCGGCACGGACTTGCCGTATCCTCCCTGGATTGGTCAGGGTGCTCTGCCCCCCCCAGACATGCGACGTCTTGACAAAAATCTAGACGGCGCTTGTTCATGGTTTTCGGCCTCTGGAGGCCCTTACCGGGCCTCGTGACCGTACAAAAAACGCTCGGGATGAAAAACCGGTTCCAGGGAAGTGGTCGAAAGGTCGGGGGGCCGTGTCTCGAAAAAATCGAGACGCCAGATGTCTGGGCCCCAGACATGCGATGTCGCGATCTCTCCAGTGCGGGGTCCCCGGGAGTCCCGACGCTTTCCCTCGGGCCGGTCTTTCCTCATGGGCCACCTCTTGACGGTCCCGGGGCCGAGCCAAAACCCAAGGAGGCCGACAACGGCCAAAAGCCTCCCAGAGCAACTCTTTTTATTGGTCACGTCACGCTTCACGCAGGCGCCGTTCAGGAATGACAATTCTTCGGGATTCCCCGATGGCGCCGGCTGGCGCGAATCGTGACGTGACCAGCCCCCCCCCCCTCCCAACCTCCCCGCCCCCCTTAGTCACGCCCATTATCGCCAGGGGATAAAAAATCGATCTATCGTCGTGCATGTTTCGCTACGTGAGCACGTCTGGGCCCTGAGCACGGCGCCCGCCGCAGGATTGGACGCCCAAAATGGGGAGGGGGCAGGACGCCCAGCGGCAAATGTTGTCCAAAATCGACAGCGGCCGCTATTGGGCAAGAGGCCTTCTGCCTCAAATGGACAGCGCCCGCAGCGACGTCGACAGCGAACCCTGTCAGAATGGACAGGAGCTGCTGTCGGTCCTCGTACCCACTCTTTCGGTACCCATGTCGATCGTACCGAGCAAGGGGACTTCGCGAGGCCCCGCCCAGCAGCCTCAGCGGGCGCCCCGCGGCCATGCCCTGGGCGCCGCGGCTGGGCCAGGCGGCGGCGGCGGGAGGGCCTCTTGGCGGGGGCGGCCGAGCGGGCTGGGAGGATCAGACGGGACTGGACACTTCGTGCGGGCTGGATGTCAGAAGCCAGCATGGGCGTGCCACGGGGTTGGCGAAAACCACGATGCCAAGCTGTCTATCTGCCAAGCTGCCGTCCCTGCGGCGAGGAAGATCGGACAGGGGCCCGGACCTCTCCAGGCGACGCGAAGACGCGGCAGAGCGGCCCGTTCGGGCCCGCAGGCCGTCGGGCAGCGAGGCGCGGCGAAAAGCCGACCACGGTCACGAGGCCAGGAGCTCCCAGGGCCAACTTTGCAAAAACACCGCTAAAGACTTCCCAGGGCCACTTGTTGGCGGCCAGTCGTTGTATTCGCTGCAAGGGCCAGGACAAACGACAACGAAGAAACCGAGGAGGAGGAGGAGGAGGAGGAGGAGGAGGAGGAGGAGGAGCAGCAGGACGAGGACCACGACGACGACGAGGCCGACACAGGATGGGTACGGGAGGGGTACCGGCCCAGGGCACCTGTACTGTCGGATGTACAAATCCAACCATCAAAAACATGAATCAGATTTGACATTGTAAAAATATCGATGCACATATATAATATGGAAACCAATTGCCCTAGCCCGCCAAACCAGCCAACCCGACCAGCCAAACCAGCCAAACAAGCCCAACCAGCCACCCCGCCACCCCGCCCAACCAGCCCAACCAGCCCAACCAGCCCAACTAGCCACCCCGCCACCCTGCCAACCCGCCCACCCCCGCCTCCTGCCCTCCGTCACCGCCGGAGAGGGGGGGAAGTGTTTCTTACCAGCGAAAACCCGAAAACTAGCCCTCCCGGGGACCGGCGGGACAGCAGGGAAGGGGCAAATCGCACAGTACTACGCAGGACTGGGATTCCGGCGGGGGGGACCGCAAAGTCGGCGTTGGGCCTCAAATGTGACACTGTCGTCATATTTCAACGTCCACCGCGCCCTCTTTCTCAACGGGAAGGCTCCCATCCTTGAAACTGTCGTCCATTTTGAGGCCCCCCGCGTGGCTTCTTAGAGAGCCGCCAGGAGGATCCAGAAGGCCTCAGGAGGCCCCAGGAAGCTCCAGGAGACTTCAGGACGCCCCAGGAGGCCTTGGGAATCCCCAGGAGGGTCTAGGACGCTCCAGGAGGTCCCACGAGGCCTCAGGTCCCAGGACGCTCTGGACGTTCCGTTCACATCCCTTCGACAACAAACACCCCGACAACGCCATGCACGCATCCTAAAGGTCGCGCGCGTAAGCAACGCGCAACAAATCCTACTGGAACGGCAAGGCTGTAACACGTTGTGTATGATTATTCGTCTCGTCTCTCTTTGACAACAATCAGGCATACATACGGATTCGTGAACCGCGTAGCGCATGAAAGGGAACAGTAAAACGACAAAGCCAAACCAAGAGAGTGACAGCGTGACGCCCCAGCAAAAAGACTTGGTCCAATTGGTGTCTACCCCCGTGAGAGGCGTTACATGATATACATAGATATATGACCATATAATATACATATGTACACATATGAACCAAAAATAATACGCAAAAAAACAAATACAACAACACAAAAAGACGTGCGCCGCGAGAAGCGCCACAAGCGAGCGGGCACGCTCGGAGTGAGCTTCCTGGCCAGTTTCTTGGCAACAGCGCTGGCGCCGCGATGTGCTCCGGGAGCGAGCGGGCACGCGCGGAATGACTCTCCTGGTGTGCATCCTGGCAACAACGCTGGCAACGCCGGACGCGAGCGTCCACGCTCAAAGTGAGCCTCCGGGCAAGCTTCCTGGCAGCACCGCTGGCAGTGCGATGTGCTCCGCGCAAGCGAGCGGGCACGCTCGGAGTGAGGCTCCTGGCAAAAATGCTGGCGGGACGGGGAGGGGGAAGGAGGGGCCTGGGAAAGGGCACGAATTCGCACACACAGCGCTCACAAATCCACCACACTGCGCTGTTCGACAGGGCACAAGATCGCAGATACACCACCACACTGCGCCATGCCAAATCTGCTCCTGCTCGGACGCGTCGCGTGGTCGTACTCATGCATGCTTGGGCCACGCACAATCACCAGGCGGACGTGACTGCTGAAATATAAGAGCAAACAAGAAAACAAAATTGAACGCGCATTTTGCTTGACAGAAAAAACAAACAATACACACACACACACACAAACACGCACACACACATACAAAAAAGAAATACGGCCATTCGCGGGGCCCTTTCACCGGCCACCTTTCACCGGCCAGCCACAATGGGGAACATCACGTGTGAAGCACAAGCTGGCACCAAGCAGCAAGAGCCCTCTGGGCAAGCCTGATGAAGGAAAAACACGGCGTTTCGGAGTGGGGGGGAATGACCAAGCACCACCAAGCCTTCACAAGCTCACTCAAGGCATGTTCGTGCCGTGACGACCGTTGCGTTGGTTTCTGACACCGCGTGGATCCTTCAGGCTTGAACGACTGGCGGCCTTTCGATCGCAAGATTGTTCCATATTGGCCCATTCTGGGCCACCTTGAACGCCCGCGGCGGGATCGCCGCCGCGTCGACACGACCCCAAGCATGCCATGTCCTGATGTTTTCAAATCGCGAGCCCCGAAGTCCCGACCCCTTCACCAGGACCGGTGTTTCATCCCGAGTCGTTCTTCGACGGTCCCAGGGCTGGGGTAAGGGCCCACGAGGCCGAAAGTTGAGAACAGCTTCCGTCCTGACTATTTCAAGACGTGGCATGTCTTTGATCCACACAAACGTGCCGCAGGGGCACTGGTCTGGGTGGCGTGGCCTCCCAGCCTGATCGGGGGCCGACGCTGGCGAGCCACCGGAGATCTCCGGGCCCACGTCGGGCCCCGGCGTCAACTCCCACGGGTGGGCCGGGCCCCGACGACCTGACGCTTCTCGAAAACGATGGATACAGACCCCTATCCCAGGCGTCGTGGGGTTTTCGAATGGACACGGTGAGGGGGCGTCCATCCTCGATAGGGGTGCGTCCGGATAGCTCCCTTGGTGTGCATTCCAGAAATTCCCCTTGATTCTGAACGGCCAGACATTTCGGCCGGAACCCGGGGATTGTGAGAGAAAAGTGGCTCTCGGCCCCATCCCTAGGGCAGATTCTTCGTCGCTCACGTGCAGCGAATCTATCCGCATCCGCGCCCTCGCGGTCTGGACTCCAGGGCGCGATCCCGCGGATGCACGGTCGCACAATACGTTCCACGCGGGGCATCCGCGAAAAACGCCCCGTGTCCACGGGGCCGCGGCCCAGGCGGCCCAGGGGGCCGGCCCGCGAGGCCGTGGTTGATACAGATACGTTTTCGCCCACGGCCCAGGGCATGCTGTTCGTCGCTGGGCGCCTCCTGGTGGTGCCCGCAAGGAGCCCCCTGGACTCTGTCCTAGCGCGCCCTCCGACCACAGCTCCGGGGGCAAGCTGGCCGTGCTGGCGAGAAGCCTCCAGGAGTCCCAGGAAGTCCAGAAGCCGCAACACCCTGAACCACGACCCCAGACGTCATGATTTGTTCTCACAAAGAAGCCCCTAAACATCTGGGCCCCTTCCCCTGGACCGGCATTTCGTCCCACGGCACGACAATTTGGAGGAACCTCGATCCTCGACCGCCTGACGCCCCCACCTGAAATCCTCGCATGGTGGGAAACATGCGACAGCAAGTTTTTGCCGCTTTCGACTTCCGGGGGGCCTCGCTGAACCCCCCGACCGCCAACAGACGACTCAGGATACAAACAACAGCTCCTTGGAAGGGCTCCAAGCCGCTGACAAGATCAGACAGCATCGAATCGGAAACTCATCGGATCGGAATTCGCGTCGGATCTGACCGCATCGGCGCGGAGTCGAAATCGAATCGGATCGCTTGCGCCAGGATGCAAGACAGCGCCATGCAGGCATCGGGCTGCATCGCACCGTCGACATATCGAAATACAATCGGATCGGGTCAGCCAGAATCGATATCGAATCGGATCGATCGAACCGAAAAGGCCCCGTCTGGGGAGCCACGCTGCGAAAGCATTACGACGGCAGATGCTTGGGTGGGCCTAAGATCGGCCCGACTCCCTCCCTCTCCCCGGACGCGCGGACGTCTGGACTTCTTCCATACGGGGTCACCGGGGTCCCGACCCGTTCCCGTTGGGCCTCCCAGAGGGGGTCCGAGCAGGTGGGGTCGGAGGATCGCGCCGCATCTCGGCAAAGTCGGCGTGGAGAAAAACGGGCTCCACATCCAGCCGCATCGCCGATGCATCGGCGACGCGGCGCGATCCTCCGACCCCGCCTGCTCGGACCCCACATGGGAGGCCTCGATGGTTTCCCAGGGCCAGGTTTGCATCACGAGTCGTTTTTCGACGGTCCCGAGGCCCAGCGAGGGCCCGCGGCCCGCGGAGGCCGACGACGACGCACAGTCTCATGGCGTGATCTCTTCTCGCGGCGCCAGCCGGTCTGGGCTCACCCCTCCTCCTCTGGCCAGGACCTGGGCGGACGCAGATGAGGGGCAGCGACAGGCGGACACTGGCATATGGGGGGGGGAAACCTCGCGGCGACAGGGACCCCGATGGCGAATCCGCACGCTCCTGGGCGGGGGTGGGCTATCAGACCCCGATCGGCGAACAGTGGGTGATTGGGGATCGATGCAGCCCCCATATGTCTGTCCCAAGTAACGATGCCACCGGGCTCTCAGGCCATGATTCAGCTCTTCGGCGGCCGTTCAGGACGATCTAGACATCCCCAGAAAGCTCTCGGAGAGGCGCAGCTGCTGGAAGGCATCCCGAGTTTAGAAAGCCGATGAGAATTGAGCGACCGAAGCACCCGAAAACCTCAAACTTCAAACCTCGAAACCCCTCCAATCGTTGCCCCTGGGCTCCTCCTCCGGCCAGGTCCGGTGTGGGCGTATAGTATAGCCGCACCACCCTGACCCGCCTCGTGACCCTCCAGCAGGGCCTCAGGCGCTAGCCGTACCTGGGGAGGAACCAACAAAACAAAGCCGTCGTCGTCCTCCTCCTCCTTCTCCTCCTCGTCCTCCTCCTCCTCCTCCTCCTCCTCCTCCTCCTCCGCGTCGACGTCAACGTCGACCTCGATATCGAAAATCGTCGTCGTCGTCGTCGCCGTCGCCGTCGCCGTCGCCGCAACGATACCACTACTCCCTGGACCTCTTCCGGGGTGCGTTCCGACCAGAACGTCGATACGAACCCAGCGGCGGCGACGAGGGCCTCCCAGGTGGTCCAAAAAGGCGAAAACGAGGAAGGGGTAGCGGTATCGACACCCTTGCCTGGTCGGAGTACCGGGCGGCCCTGTCGCCGAACCAGTTCTCCGCGACGTCGCTGGTGCGGATTGTCAGGCTCTTCGTGGTTGTGTACTCCTCGAAGGCCTGCGGGGCGCCGAGGGCCCAGGCGACGCCGTCGCCGCCATCGCCGAGGCGGAGAGGCCAGAAAAGGCCAAAGGGGCCAGAGGGGAGGCGAGGCGAGGCGCCTCCCAGTCCGAACGGGCGGCCGCGCGAGGGGCTGGGGGGGGGCGCCGGAAGAGGCCAGAGGAACCGGAGGAGCGGCCACAGCAGCAGGAGCGCGTCGCCCGAGGAGGCGGCCGAAGCGCTTGCGAGGACGAGGGAGGGGCCGCGAGAGAGAGGCGCGGGCGGTCTCGATGAGAGGCCAGCCCCCATGCAGCCTCGAGGGAGTCATACTTGGAGGGGGCGAGACAACATGAACAAAAACTTTCGGAGGTCCGCGCAGATTTCTTGGATCGGCGCCAGGATACACCTCCCTGGCGCGCAGAGTGCGCGAGGTCGGCGTCGGAGATGACGCCAGGGGGGCCCAGCGCAAGTCCAAGAAATCCGAAAGTTCATGTTTATCCTCTGACTGTTCTTGGATAATCCGCCACCGTGGCGCAGGCACTGAGGTGGAGTGTCCTCAAGTCCGCCTGAGCTCTCAGCAT